GGTTCGCAGGGTCATGGCCCCGTCAATTTCTACCTCAATCAAATTCTCACTAAATCCAGCCTATCACCCATATCATACCCGGGGCATTCCTTCAGGATAGGTGCAGCCACCTCTGCTGCTAATCAAGGTATCTCTACCTCATCCCTACAACAACTAGGACGGTGGTCCTCCTCCGCCTTCACAACCTTCATTCGTCCGGACATCAGCGCCGTACGGGCTTCCCAAGATCTCTCAGACCCTAACTATGGTAGTTATACATATAACTGGTGGTGGCTCAAACACATTCACAAGTATACATGTCTCACTAAGGTTCCCGATATTCAAAACTGCATTCCTGTCCTAATTCCGCGGGCCCCGCCCACAGGGAATAATGTCTCGTCTCACGCTGCAACCACATGTAACGGGCTTCATCTCCGGCACACAGGTATTTCATTCCCAGGCCTTGCTCAAACGTATCGGTGTAAAATGTATTTCCTGCAGTCCGCGTGGACTCGGGCCACCGTACACTCCGGTGTCAGTTACAAAACAAAGGAAATAAAGAAAAAAAAAAATATATATATAGCCTGCGAAGTCAGGCGTGGCGGAAGGCCACCGTACACTTCGGTGTCAGTTGCAAAACAAAGGAAAGAGAAAGATAAATATATATACATATATAGCCTGCGAAGTCAGGCGTGGCGGAAGGCCACCGTACACTTCGGTGCCAGTTACAAAACAAAGGAAAAAGAAATGAAGAGTAAAGATATATATATATATATATATATATATATATATATATCCTGCGAAGTCAGGCGTGGCGGAAGGCCACCGTACACTTCGGTGTCGTAGCGGAAGGCTACCGTACACTTCGGTGTCGTGGACGTTGGGCCACCGTTACAAAACGAAACCGCTCGCTCCTCGGCGTAGTCAAGCCCTGCTGGCCAGGCATGCGACCCGCAGGTCGTTTTCAGGTAAGACCGGCACTGATTTCGGCAGTCAGAGTCTCAGCATGACCAGTAAGCTCCGGCAGTGATTCCGGCACAGTGTCGCTCATATACGTGTTAATCTATTATCTCTCCTTCCCAGATCACCAGTCACCCCACAAGGTAAGCAACTCAGTTCATCTCAGTATTCATACTTCACTGGTTTTGGGGATTTCATCGGAGCGGTGCTTTCCCTCCTGAATGATTATCCTGCAAACCGGGGCCTAATCGCCAAGCACCATTACATTCTCCTGTTGTATTATCATGGCAATCATTTCATTCATATGACGTGTAAACAATAAATATGTAATTCTTACATCACGTCTCTCCGGTTTGAAATGAAAGCTTTAGCGCAAGTTCAATAAGGAAGACCTAACTCGAGTCACTCACACGTCACTCTATGGCTCCCTTCCCCCCTCATTAAATACGAGGGCGTCACCCCTCAGCAGCCAATCGCTGCACATGCTAAATGCCTTAAATGCCTGCTCTTCCTCCCTGTCAGTTGTCATTGCAGATGATCACACGCAACCCGCCTCCACCCCTCTCGCCTCCTGTCTCCTTCAGGACAAAGCTAAACCTTCCTCCTTCAGACCGGTCTCACCTACTCATCACCACCACCAGTGTCTAGACCCCGGGGATTTCATCGGAGCGGTGCTTTCCCTCCTGAATGATTATCCTGCAAACCGGGGCCTAATCGCCAAACACCATTACATTCTCCTGTTGTATTATCATGGCAATCATTTCATTCATATGACGTGTAAACAATAAATATGTAATTCTTACATCACGTCTCTCCGGTTTGAACTGTAATGGTGTCTTCACAGGTCTCACTAAAAAATCTATTAGAAAGCTGCAGCTGATTCAGAACGCTGCTGCTCGAGTCCTCACTAACACTAAGAAAGTGGATCACATCACTCCTGTTCTGAAGTCTTTACACTGGCTTCCTGTGTGTCAAAGAATAGATTTCAAAATACTGCTGCTGGTTTATAAAGCACTGAATGGTTTAGGCCCAAAATACATTTCTGACCTCCTGCTAAATTATGAACCATCCAGATCTCTCAGGTCTTCAGGGACTGGTCAGCTTTCTGTCCCCAGAGTCAGAACTAAACATGGAGAAGCAGCGTTCAGTTATTATGCTCCAAATATCTGGAACAAACTCCCAGAAACCTGCAGGTCCGCTGCAACTCTGACTACTTTTAAATCCAGGCTGAAGACTTTCTTTTTGTCGCTGCTTTTAATTGAACTATTCATATCTTAGACTGCACTGAAACTTTTATCCATGTATTTTTTCTTTTAATGTTTATTTTATTAGCTTTTCTTTTTAATGACTGATTTTAAATGCCTTTTTCTTAATGTCTTTCATTTTTTGTAAAGCACTTTGAATTGCCTTGTGTTGAAAAGTGCTATATAAATAAACTTGCCTTGCCTTATAATGCCAGCACCCTGCTATTCTTCAGCCTCAGTGCTATAGTGGCACACTGGTGTGAAATGGAGCCAACGTTAATGTTATTAGTTACACCTGTGCTCTTAGAATACCTGCTGGGAAAAGGATCGACAGTATTCTCTTGGCCCCATTGAACTCTGTAGTAAAAGTGTTAAGAACGCTCTCGCCTGCCAACGCTATAATGGCTTTAAGTACTCGACTATACATGCAGATTGGATTCTCCGCATGGTTGGAAGGGAGACATCTTAACTTTAACACATGCCTTATAACTGTTCAACTTCTATGTAAATGCATACATAGAAGTTGAGATGTCACAACTTACAAGCAGCACATGCCTCTTTAGATGCTAATGCAAATGCAAGTCATTAACACTGAAAAAAAGATATACATATTAATTAACCAAGTTAAATGTTTTTTGGCAAACTAAATATACGCACAGTAGACTGTTTAAATATTTATGAAGCATGTCCTTATTTCCAGCCACGGCGCAGCAGACTGAAGAAGTGAAATCCATGATTTAAAGCTTCATTCAATAATGACCGTAAACTTTTATTTTTAATGAGCCTTCTGGACCCCAGAGCTTGTTTTGGTGGTGACAAAGTTACAGTTATAGGGACGTTTTATGGGCCTGCCATTACTGATCCCCCTCCATTAGTTCCTGGGTAAAGCCCGGGGGAAAGGGACGTGGCAATAGATCGTCCAGAAAATGTTTATTTAGAGACTAGCAGGCTGATCTAATTATCCCTTTAATTATGTAGTAAAACTGCTCAATGTCAGGACAAAGTTCTCAATGTAACTAACTGTAAGATGGCGAAGTGAATTGTTCATCATAGTGGGGATGCCGACATATATTCAGGTTATCCCTGTGGCCTTGTCCCTCTCTCTTTCGTCTCCCCAAATAAGAAAGTGACCTTCCCTCTCCAGTCATAAATGCAGAGTCACTCCCTACTTTGCCAGTGAGGCTGCGATCTCATCTTTTTCTGGAATAACCTTTTACCCTTTTAATCGTGTTCCCTCTAATAACTGTGACGGCAATATATAAATATTTTAACTTAGTTATTATTCATACTTCTTATTTCTTACACTCATACGTCATTGTCATAGTCACAGGGATGTTGTAAATGCACATGAATCTCTTCTTATTGGTGGTTTGTAATGGTGGTGGTGTGATTAAGGTGATGGACCTTCAAGAAATAAGAACAATGTATTTTCTCACCAAGGCTTAGTTTCTCCAAGTTGCTATCACTCAGAAGTTCCTGCTTGAAGTGTGCACATTGTTACAAAGGTCAGTCTCTCTCTGGATCAACATGAACGCTTTGTCCTCTGCAGGCGGTTCAAAAGTAGACAGGCCCCTTTAGATTTTGATGCCCTCAGCAAAAGCGGCTGTGACATAAACAAAGTCAAAAGGTCTATTTACATATGTGTGTGAAGAATACACTTTGTCCTTTCCAGTTACCCTAAAGATGGATTGAATGGATAGCTATACAGACAATATGAAATCAGCTTCCATCGTTGAAGCAGCTCTAAGTAACAATCAAAAGTGACATTTTGATGTTTCAACAACAAATAAAGACTTTAGTGGCAATACAAGACCAGAGGGATTGTTTGTTCTTCTTTACTGTAGTAAAAACTTTACAAGTCAGAGGTGTGTGTACCAGAGTGCAGAGCTTCTCTCACATAAAAAGCTCCCTTTTTAGAGTGAAATGTCACCACAGAGACACATTTGTTGGTTTTAAAGTATTGCGACAGACTGCGATATAGTGGAGAAATAACCTTGCTGGTGATGTGCTTCAATTAGATGGATGCAAAAACATTTGAACACAAACAGTACGAGTGGCATTGAAGCAAATTCAAAAGATATTAAGTCATATTTACCTTCCTGCATTTAGTCATATGCCAGTCCTCGTTATGATGACATGTCACTTGTTAGACGCTTTTATCCAAAGCGACTTACATACTCAATACTGTGGACAATCCCCACAGGAGCAATTTGGGGTGAAGTGTCTCAGGGACACAACGACATGCTGACTGCAGTGGGGTTTGAACCTGTGACCCCTGATCCCAACACCAAGGCTTTAACCACTGCGCCACACGCCTCCGTTATGAGAAGTTATTTACACATTTGTGGTGTGACAACTCAGGATGCCTCGTAAATGTACATATAATACAGTATATACTGCGTACACATGATGTTAGGGTCAGCTTTTATTAGTAAAAAAGACTATTCTATGCCAGGACACGACCAGAATTGTATCTTCAATTATTTGCTCTCGGCCTGTTCTGATGTTCTTTAATTGTTTCGTAATCTTTAATTTAAATCAAAGCCATCTGCCGTCCTCTCTTTAAAGCACTGCCTCATTGTCCAATATCTTCTCCTTGGCAACTCTGTTTTTCTCTCCTAGCCTGATTCGATCTCTCCTTTTCTCTGTCCCTTATTTCTTCTCTTTATACTCTCTGCTAATTGGTAATGATAGCAACAGCCGTGAGCAGACTTTTTCAATGACAGAGCTAATGAGAGGACTGCTGCAACGATAGCACGTTGTTGTATTTGCATTACGTGTTCACGTCTTGAGCATGATCAGCCTTTTCCCACTCACTGTCTCCTAGTTTTCCTCCTCCCTTCTTCTGTCCTTCAAACTCCAGCAAGGTGATGCATCTAATGGAGGACGAGTGTCGCCTGAGGAACATGGTGACCATCACCAGCTGTACTCCTCATCTCTCTTCCTGTCTCACACCTCTAATCTCTCCAGCTATACTTCCTCTTTTCTCTCCACTCTCCTTCAGTCTGTCATTCCCTCCCTCGCCTCCTCATCTCTAATTCACCCTTCCACCAGCTGTTGGTGTCTCCTAATAGCTGTCATGTTGATGTGGACGGACCAGGTACCTTTCTTCTCACACCTTGCAAATGTGGCTCATTAAAGTGGAGGGTGGGGCAGGGGTGGGGAGGGTGACAGGAACCTGCATCAAGCTGTTCCTTTTGCCTCCGTTTCCACTAATGAGTTGCTGACAAGCCGATGCCCCCTACAAGGTGGTCATAAATGTATAATGGCATTAAGGAGCGCTTGATGGCGACAAGCTCAAGGTGTTTCACGGTACATGGTGGACATAAGTTGCGACAAAGCTGTGAATACATTTAATAACTTGAGGAAGTTGACTCAGAGCCAAGGGGTTTCATGTGGGCACAAATAAAACTGACACATGCTGTCCAACTGACAGCAGTGCCACTATCACATTTACAGGTGGAGAGAAGTGTGTGTAAAATGAAGCAATCTCCACTTGGACAGATGTGACAAGCACATACAAAAGTATGAACACTCTGACGCGTCTGCCATTACAAAAAAAACATTTAAGGCCATCTGTGCCTCTCCTTTCTGCCAATTTTGAAAAGAAACTTGCCATTCAGGTTGGAACATTTGAGAAAGATAATAGAGCACAGACCAAAGCAATATGCAGACACACAAAGGCCGATCCACATCCTGGAATCACAACAGTGTCCATTGTGTGATTGTAGAATTTATAATCACTAAGAGTCAGGTTCAAAAAAAGGTTGCACCAATACAACCTTAGCAACAGTGACAAATTAACCAGAATAAATGATGAATAGAGGCAGACATACTTGACAGGAAAGAGTGTTAGAAGAGAGAGAAGGAGCTTGTTCAAAATGTGACAAAAACTCCCAGGTCTACACGCCGAAAAGAAAGACTACCAAACAACACAGTCCAAAACAATAAGCTGCCACATAGCCGTCCAATGTAAGAGTAATAAGTTATTTCATCTCCTCTTTTCTGATGCCACATCAATGCAGGCAGCAGAATGAATGTGCGTGGAGATTTGATTTGATTGGACGGGTGCCACTAAGCAGATACGCAAACGGTAGCTTTAGGCGAAATCAAAACATAATCAGGTTAAAGCCATCGAAACTCCGTTGAATGTGGATTTAACAAAGCTTGTCATAAGCAATCGTTCTGATGTAATGTGTTTATTTCGCCCGTAAAGACAAAATAATATGACTATCATTTTCTATCCAGACACAGTTTCAAAAACATTTTCGTCAAAAAGTCAAAGCCAGTTTAGAGTTTGGACTGGTGATGGAAACAAATGTGATATCATCAGGGGAGTAAACGTCCAAACAAAGACACAGAAACAAATAAAGACAAGATAGGTTTACACACACACACACACACACACACACACACACACACACACACACACACACACACACACACACACCACTTCAGGGGACATTGACTTACATGCATTTCCTGGATACTTATCCTAACCTTAACCATAACCAACACATGCCTAACCCTTACCCTTACCCTTAACATTACCCTAACCCTAATCCCTAACATTACCCTAACCCTTACCCTTAACATTACCCTAACCCTTACCCTAAACCTAACCAAGTCTTCACCCTAAATGATTCCCCTTATGGGGACCTCCATTTTGTCCCCATAAGGGAGGCGAGTCCCCACACGTGACTATGTAAACAGATTTAGGTCCCCACAAGGATGGTAATGCTAGGCCACACACACACACACACACACACACACACACACACACACACACACACACACACACACAAGACTTACCTATAGACGTCAGTGGAGGATTTGCCGACAGGGAGCATGCAGAGAAATAGAGATTTATGTTAGAAGAAAATGCCACAAACACGAACTATGACATTAATCTGAACACATTACACATCAGGATCAGCCATTAATCATTATTCTGTCACTTAATTACAGTAATTCCATATGTCTCGGGTATTCATATCCACATTTGTCTTCCACACATCTGAACACGTTGACATCAATTGCAGGAAAGTACTTTAAAATAACATTAGTTTCTCCCCAAAGTTTGTATTTCACATGATTTATTATACAAAGAACTAGAACATTGTACAATTATATGAAAATGCTGAGTCCTAACATCCCAGCTCCACTTTCAGTCCGACAGGTGTTTAGAGAAGAACAACCTATTAAATTCAACGCCAGCGTATTCCGTTAAATGCGGCTGAAGGGTTAGTCAGAAACAGGGTTTATTTATAGACGCTGTAAAGATCTTTTAAATATTCACTACCACAGCTGTTATAACACCTACAGTAAATAAAGAATTACAAAAGTGGAGTTAATCTAATCACATGATGGTAATCGCAGTGTGTGCTGGATGCATTTACAAGTGATTTCATTTATAAGAATAAATACATTCATAGAGAGTGCATCTCATTTTTGCTTTGAATAAGGAGATGTTTAATTCACGGCTGAAGCTCTGCAGTGTTAGAGTGGATGTTCTAACATGTTCTACACAATCTTGGCTTACTCAAGTCTTTGTCTCTTTGTTTTATTTCATCTCTACTTGAGGAAATTGCTGGACCAATCACAGCTCTACACGTTTGCTTCCAAAATAATCTCTTCCCAACAAAACAAGTTTCTTTTAGTTCAGTTTGCGGCCACATTTTGCTCTGGTTTCCCCTGATTGCCTAGTTGTTGCACCTGTCATCTAACTAGTGTGTTACCATGGCAATGTGCACATTAACAGGTGCTAAGCTTCATTACTTCCTGGTCATCAGCAGCTCATCCCACACAGGACAGAGGAACAGTATGCAGCCACACACACACACACACGTGTACACACACACACACACACACACACACACACGTACACACACACACACACACACACACACGTGTTCTTTAGCTAGCATCTCACGTTGCCAATGTGTGTGTGTGTGTGTGTGTGTGTGTGTGTGTGTGTGTGTGTGTGTGTGTGTGTGTGTGTGTGTGTGTGTGTGTGTGTGTGTGTGTGTGTGTGTGTGTGTGTGTGTGTGTGTGTGTGTGTGTGTGTGTGTGTGTGTGTGTGTGTGTGTGTGTGTGTGTGTGTGTGTGTGTGTGTGTGTGTGTGTGTGTGTGTGTGCAGAATGGACTCATTAGCAGCCCTCTTAAGGTGGGGTATATGATTAGCCAAACACAGTGCTATCTCCTCCATCCACTAATGAGAAACACACCCTTCTCTCTTTCACACACTCACACAAAAACACACTTACACTGAAGAAAAGGCTGCTGGGAGAATACACACACACTCCATCTGTTTTCAATCTCATCAAGAAATGCTTTTGACTTTTCTCACACACTTTGATCCTCGCCACCCTGCTCTCAGAAGACACAGCTGAGTAGAAGTCAAAATGCTAATCAATGTGAGGCATTGGAGACCTAAACAAACCACTCAAATATAAATGGACTCCTTAAACTTCTTTACAGAGGCAAAGTTTGTCTTTAAACTCTGGAATAACAACATGTTTTAACAAGCTTTGGGTGGTGTTGCAACATGTGCACAATATGCTGCAATGTAATGCTGATGAATGTGTTTCATAGGGTTTGATTTTTCCTATAAATATATGTTTATTTTCCTCTGTTAAATTGTAGGTATTTCTCTCAGAATGGAGTTCAAAACTAAACCAAAGTGTTGGAATAGTAGGAAACAAGATTGTCTATGTTTTTAATGGACAAATAAATGATGTAAGCAACCTTATAATCCATGCAATGACCTGAACTCTAAATATAAATCCGCAAAAACGATGACTAAGTGCATTGAATCATGCCTCGTCAACAATGTGTTATGATGGTGTTTTCTCTCAGGATCTGCCCTATTATTCTTGCTGATGACATATGTCCTCAGGCTCACCGATTGTGAACACATTACATCAGATTGTGTCATCAGGAGAAATGGCTGACAGTAAGAAGGGCAGCAAAGCCAGCTTCTCCCTGACCTGATCTACAGTCAGAGAAGAAGCTGCAACATCTACATATGCATCATTCTGTACCCGAGTATCGAAGAGCAACACATGTCACCGACCTGCAGACTCACAACCATTGGGTGAACCAATCAAACTGGAGGACAGACTAACTTTCAAAACATCACTGAAGAAGACGTTTGAAGTTACCTCCCAATTTAGAACAGCTATCCCGCCTCATCATTAACCAAGCAGTGCCACGCTGAGAAATAAACTCGCACCTTTTTCAACAGAGAGAGGTACAATATGTTAGAGGTGGAAGTGCTGTGTTTAACAAATGCCAAAAGTTTAAAAAGTGCCCAACTCTCTCTCTTTTCCAGGCCCCCCCTCACTCCCTGCCCTTGGTCAGCAGACACAGTCCTGACAGGGAATGGATGGATGGAGCAGATAGATGGATGGAAAGAGGGAAGAGAGAGGGATAAGCAGAGAGCTGACCTCTTATTCCCAATGCTGTGTCAGCTCTGCCATCAACTCATCAAAACCGCTGACACACTGCTGACACCTCTCTCTTTCCTCTCCGTCCACACACACTGTCCACACACACTGTCCACACACACTGTCCACTCATGCATGGCATCCATTACAACTGCATTTATCTCATGACTAAGGAACATCTATCTATCTATCCATCTTCAAATATGATTTTGTTTTTTACAGACAGTACAAAATACATAAGGAGATGCTTTCACTATTAGATGTTAGGTTGTATTTTCATTGGTAATAACAATGAAAATATCACAAATACAAGCATCACATCTCAAATACTGCCCCTCTATGAATTGACCATACAGTAAATGTGATATTTGCCTAACAATAACCAGTGTAAGTATAATCTAAATAAAACCGAAAGAGTGAAATAAATAAAATACCAAAGAAATAATAAATGAATGAAAACAAAAGAAGA